TTATGTTTGAACGTGACGGGTGATGGTATTCGATGAGCAACGAAACTATACCGTAATAATCATTTTTTCGAAAGGAATAATGTCACGCCCCGGACCGCATCTGGGCCATGTAGACAACCGCCGTACAACCCGATAAGAACAACAACAGTTCATCCCTATTGAATTGTACAAGGCGTCCGATTGATTCTATTGCCAAACCGATTAGTAAACACATACAATCAACATCAATATCATAATCAAACAAATGCGGAAATGATAATATGTTTGATACTTAGCCACACGTGGCAAACACGAGCACGCAGGCCCCCAACTCTTTTAAGGAAAACATTGTTCGAAAATCCATGAGCAGTTTATAAATTTGAAATAAGAATGGAAGCACGAACCACGTCTAGCCTTAACCTGAAAAATGTGAGCCCCCCGGAGGGGATAAGAATACTAGTGACAAGCAGGCTATATGAAGAATAACTAATGTTTCAGACACGAGACCCAAAAATAGGGTGATACATATATATATATATATATATATATATATATATATATATATATATATATATATATATATATATATATATATATATATATATATATATATATATATATATACGTGACTCATCCACCCGATGATACATATTGTATATATATATATATATATTTGTAAAATACTCAACCCGTAGGTCATTTCATTTAAAGAGTCTTTTAGAGATAAAGTTCTTACCTGACTTTTCTCACTCCTTTACCGGATGCCTAGCTCACAAGCTATATTCTACCTTCGATTCATACTACCGAGTGTTTTAGGATCATTTACCGTCCAAGGCACTCAACCCAACCTGGAGTATCTAGGATCATTTACCGTCCAAGGGTACTCGACCCCACCTGGAGTATTCTGGATCATTTACTGTCCAAGGGTACTTGGCCCCACCTGGAGTATTCTGGATCATTTACCGTCCAAGGGTACTTGACCCCACCTGGAGTATTTTGGATCATTTACCGTCCAACAGTACTCGACCCCACCTGGAGTATTCTGGATCATTTACCGTCCAAGGGTACTCAATCCCCAGTCTATTCTCTACCAAATCCTAACCTGGATATGGCTAACCTTTCATTCCCTTAACTATGGGCAATACCTATCCCTATAGTCATATAAACATCCTTAGTAACCAACGTGGACGGGTCCCACCTGAACGACCCACGTTAACCTACTCAAAAACTGTCCGTTTTGAGTATAACCCAATACTCGATCGAGTACTCACCTATACTCGGTCGAGAACAGGAGACAGTAGCCCGTAAGGCCAATTTTTAGTGTATACTCAATCGAGTTTATACCCATACTCGATCGGATATAGAAGACAGTAGCCCCTGGGGCAAATTTTCAGCAAATACTCGGTTGGGTATTTGCCAATACCCGGTCGGGTATAACAGTTGACTTGGCGGTCAACGCCCGTTTGACCACCCAAACGGAGTCCGATTAACGTAAAATTTTACATGCAAGTACTCTTTGACGTTCTTAATCCAAAAATACATGTCTAGGTCCTTGGAACAGCATACACATCAATTTATAGAAATTTCACCAATCAAACCTATAAATCATGCTTTGCAACTATGTTATATTCCTTAACATAACACAACACATACTTTAATACCATTAATCAATCCATAAAAACATATTATTGAATAATTTAGGTAATCTCATGCCTCACGCAAAAGTTATAAATCATAAAGTCGTCTTCTCACCTTAAATGAAGCTTATGAAGTTCTAGCCTCCCTTATTGAGCTCCGGCGAAACTTCGACGAACTTCGACGAACTCCGACGACAATTCTGGCGCCCCTTTCAACTCCGTGAAAGTTCCTTGAATACCTTAGACAAGTTACTAACAAGGTTTTATCATCATAAAACCCATATTAATACAATTAACTTCCAAAAGGTTATTTTCCGGCGAACCGGTCACTTTGGCTCCTAAGTCCGTTCTTGGACTTAGAACTACTTCCAACCCCTCATTCTACACTTACAAACGTGTAGAACACTCCTAGGGTGTGAAACATGATTTTCTAATCATATGAGATGATTGAGGAATAAGAGATGGGATAAATGGAGTCATTACCTTGTAAATCTCAACTTTCCCTCCCTATCCTCCCCTTTTCTATTCTCTTTTCCCTTCCTTCTTCCTCCCCTTGCTTTGTGCGAAAATGGTGGATGAAAATGGAGTTTTTGCAGACCTTATCTCTCTTCTTTGAGTAAGTTGGGCGAGCTGATTGAGTTGGGGTGATTGAGAATAGCCATTTTGGCTTATTCATCAATAATTTGGGAGAGGTACCCCCTTTCCTATCACATTTGCCTCTAAACACTTTCTCCCCTCTTTCCTCATGCCAATGTGCGGCTCCCCTTGATATTTTCCAAACCAAGGACGTGGATTGGACCCCACTCATGTGGGAGGTCAACCCTTTGTGTCCCCGAGTGTATAATCGGTCCCGAAATTTGTATTTTTCGGACTATTTTAATTACATTTTATTTCATTGGGTTAAATAAAATATCGCACCTGCTCTTCATCATTATTGGACTTTATTATGAATATGCATTTCTCAACTTAAATTTAGAAGTCTCCGAAATTCCTTTTCGGCCTGTTATCTGATAAATTGTCGATACTGATAATTTGGCCTCGTTTGACCAACCGGTCAACCCTATGCCCTTGCCACGGCCCAATTAGGATATCCACCATCATAAAAATATTATCTAGGCCCAGATGAATATAATATGTGGTCCCGATAATATCGGGCGACCCCCACTTCCGGTGTGGGCCCCACGTGAATTTTAGTATTCACGTAAAAGAAATGATAAAAATTTACAATCACGTAAAATGTTTTTATTCATTTCTCTGGGTTCAATACATAATTTGATAAAGTACGATTACTTGGGGACGGTGTTACAAATAATATATCAAGTTAGTTGTCATGTTAGATAGTATTCGAGTGTTTAAAATATAGTTTAAAATGTCATCGGGGTCTAGGATGGGATCAGCAACAATCGGGGTTGGTTTAGAGAGGCGTTTTTGGCACCCGGTGGAAGCCGGACCGGCGTCGGTTGGGCCCAAACCTTACTTTTGGATAACTCAACAAGTTCTCCATTAACACCACCTATCAATATATACACATAACATGGCATTCACATAATATTATACCATACAAATTCAAGCATTCAAGCCAACCTATCCAATTCATAGGTATCTAGACTTCCTATGATACATATCCAATTCATGTGTAATATCACTTCCTATGTGTAATATCATACCATACAAATTCAAGCATATCAAGCCAACCTATCCAATTCATAGGTATCTAGACTTCCATTTTTTTCATTTCAAACTATCATGTATAGGTGGTGATGGCTTACTTGATTCACGTGGATTTTTTACCCTTGATCGTGCGTATAAAGCGTCCACGGGCAACTATTCTTCGATTGAGCAACTGTATACATTATTTACATTTGATCAACATAACCTCATGTTTTAGCCAAAAACTTAAGACTTAGGCATAAAAGGAATTCAACAAAACTAGTCTGTTTGATAATACTAAAGTAAATAGAATTAACTTATTTTGCTGAAATTGGTTGAATTCTGGTTAAATAGGTGAAATTTTCTGAATCATGAAAAATATATGTGAAATATATTCCATTTGTGAAACTAAGAAAAAAAAATGAAACAAAAGTTAATCTGGTCTTCTACATAAGCATCTCAAGTAAACATAATTGTTATGAACCCAATAATAAAAAAATTCTATATTTCTTAATTGTTAAAATTTTGGGTTTGATTTGGTATGAATTAATATGGTCTATTAGATGTCTGTTTTTATGTGACTTATTGTTATAATCATTAAAGTTTGATCTGATCTGATTTAATCTGGAACTGAAATCAATCCAATTAAAAACATTCTATTAAAATAAAAGTAGGAATTCGTAAACATATAAAGAATTTCTAATTTGGATCAGGAATCTATTTCAAAAGTGAAGACATTTGAATTTTAGGTGTAAAATAAAGAAACAACAATTTTTTTTTACTTATTTGACTAAGCTAAACATATTTACTTGTGAAAATATATATACTTTATGTTGGTTATAATTTTTAATTTCATTTTTAATTATTTACTTATTTGAAACTTACTAATTTATTAATAGGTGTCAAATTAATAAGTAAATTAATTTGCATATTTGTTTCTATTTAATTCGGTGTAATAAACTAATATAAATTAGTTTCCATATCAATAAACGTTATTAGAATTTCACTTTGATAACCAAAAATTATTTTACTTATTTGAAGCTTACCAAATTAATTAACGTGGATTTATAAGGATTTTTGTTTCCATATCGATATGCAATAAAAAATGGAATCTAATAAAAACAAAAGGTATAAAAATAAGTAAATAATTGTTATACTCCCTCCGTTCCTATTAGAACTTCCAACTTTCCTTTTTCGTCCGTTCCGTTTAAAACTTCCACTTTCTCTTTTTAGTAAAAAATTTGTGGTTCACAACATTTCTTACACATTTCTCTCATCTGCACAACTCTCCACCATACAATACCCACTATCTTAAATTGTGTGTCAAACCTATTTGGAAGATAAAACAGGAACGGAGGAAGTATATAATTACATGGTATGATTATGTGATGCTTTGTATACTCTTAAAAAGTTCATCTTTTATATATATATATACGAAGTATATTGATTTTCAAATTGTCAACAAAATTAATCATTAGGCCTAATTAATTGAACTTAATAAGAAAAAATAAGAAAAAATAAGCTTACTCACTATATATAAAGAAAAAAATTTGAGCCTATTTTTTCTTCTAATTGTTTTGGCTAATTTATCCGCAGATGTGAGAACTTTAGCGGCCACATGTCCAACAGCGAGTCCTTAAACGAGTGGTACACATCACGTCGTCATTAACGTGGCATTAAATGACACGTGCTCCCTCCCTTTATTAACGCCGCAAATCCCTCCCTCCACCTACTTCTCCGTTCAAACTTCAAACCCCACTCGGTACACACACTACTGTGTGTATGGTTCATCTTTTTCCTGCTAATAATAAAGACACCATAATAATTATCCTTATTTTAATCCAAAGATCAACCCATCCAGAATAAATGTTTAATTTATTCTCCATCAATTGAGATGGACCCTAATTAGCTTTAAATTCGAAATCCAACTCCGTATCAATCAAAATCAAAATATATATACAATAAAGGGAGATATTTCATCCAGCTATGCATCTCTAAATCTGTTAATGTATATATTGTTAATGTACATACGAGTGTATATATTGTTATACATACATATCTTTATAGATAGATTTGCTGGGGGGAGATATGGGGGCGATGGCGTCATCAATGGCGGCAAAGTTTGCATTTTTTCCGCCGGATCCGCCGGCGTACGGGTTGGCGGTGGAGGAGTCGACCAAGAAATTGAGGATGACGGGGGTGACGGAGAGGGAGAACGTGGACGTATTGAAGCTTGCGACCCAGAGAGGCACGGAAATAGTGGCGGTGTACGTGAGGAACCCGGCGGCGAAGCTAACGCTGCTCTACTCCCACGGAAACGCGGCTGACGTGGGCCAAATGTACGACTTGTTCTGCGAACTTGGCCGTCATCTTCGCGTCAATGTGATGGGGTACATTGAATCTTTGAATATTTATCATTTTTGTTGTTCAGTGATTTAGGGTTTTGGATGGTTAGGTTAGCCTGGGTGTTCAATCAAAGTGAAAGTTGAGCTCTTTTTTTATTGAATTTCATCTTAAGGGCTCATTCTGCTGCTTTTTGTTTTGATGATGATGATGATTATGAATTAATGATGATTGAGTTTACCGGATACAGCTCAGCTGTGCAGATTCAGAAATGAACCGTTGCTGCTATTAGATCTGTTTAAGAATCTAACATCGGATTAAGATTTATTTTTCGTATGACCCAAGAGCAACTGAGTATTTTCCTGAAGTTTGAATTCTTGTTCATTCTTGGTTCCCTATGTAGGTATGACTACACTGGGTATGGAATGTCCAATGGCAAGGTAATGTTAGAAGAAAAGAAATACTCCATGTGGGCATTCATGATGCTTGAAGTTAAGGTACTAAAGGATGATTCATTTTTCTTCTTCTATAGGCGAGCGAGCAGAACACTTATGCTGACATTGATGCAGCATACAAATGCCTATGTGAGAGATATGGTGCGAAAGAAGAAGACGTAATATTATATGGTCAGTCTGTTGGCAGTGGACCGACTCTAGATCTCGCATCGCGTTTGTCAAGATTAAGGGCTGTGGTTTTGCACAGCCCCATATTGTCTGGCCTCCGTGTGATGTATCCTGTGAAGAGGACATATTGGTTTGACATATATAAGGTTCCTTAATCTTCTCTTTTACTCATGGAATTATGTGAGGTCCGTTCAAAAAACTGCTAGATCCAATCGAGAAATGATATTGTACATAGACTAATGGTTTTAATTTTTCGGTGTGATGCAGAATATTGATAAGATTCCATTGGTTGATTGCCCTGTCCTTGTAATACACGTGAGCCTCCCTACTTGTTGAACATATTTCCATGTTTCAAGTTTCATATAGACATATACAGCTATTTAATCAAGAGACGTATTCTCATCTCTAATTTATGATATTTTGTACTGCCATTGTGGTGGGTTTCAGAATTTCTGATATTTCTTATATTTCTAGCAAAGCTTCCGTATTTTGAGGTCTCCTATAATGGTATGAGGGAACCCCAGAGAAAACTCAGAGAATGTAATGTTGACATATACTTGATACATTTTTGAGAAATATATGGAAGTACCTAAAGATATACTCCCTCCGGTCCTAAATAAACTTCATAGTTTGACTTTGACTTTACTGTTTTTAAGAAAGTGGAATTTTTACTTTTGACTTTCCCATCATGCCCCTACAAAAAGGTGATAAAGTGTGTAGTGGGAGAGAGAAAGTGGGTGTAAAGTAGGTAATAAAGTAAAGGTATAGGGGTAACTTTATGTGCCAAAAATAGAAGTGTGAAGTTTTTTTTGGACCTACCTAAAAAGTGAAGTGAGAAGTTTATTTAGGACCGGAGGGAGTATAAGAAATACTATCCTCCGTTCCATAAAAGTTGCATCAGTTTGACTTTCACGTTTGCCAACGCGCAACTTTGACCGTAATTATATTTATTTACGTATTAGTAAACATTAAAAAAAGTTAATATATTGGAAATTTACATTAATACAAATTTATTAATATTTTATACATAATATTTTTATTATATATATTATTAGAAAATCGTAGTCAAAGTAAGGTGTGTGAATAGTGCAGAAATTCCAATGTTGCAACTTTTATGGAACGGAGGAAGTATTGATAATCTCAATATCTTTCTTTATAAAACCAGAAATATTGATAATCTCATTATCTTTTACAATAAAGTTTTCTTGAAATGTAAAGCAACATTGAAGTACAGTTTTCTAATACTTTCCGATATCCATATCGGTTTGAAATGATATCCCAATCGGCCAATCTAAATTGCATTTGTAAATCGAGGAATGTAAGGATTAATTGACATGTTCTTTCTTGTGGTCTTTCCCAATCTTAACGACAAAACTTATCCACTAGCATGTACTTTTTGCCACTTTCAGGGGACAGCAGATGATGTGGTGGACTTCTCTCATGGAAAGAAGCTTTGGGAACTTTGTAAGCAAAAATATGAACCACTATGGGTTAAAGGTGGAAACCATTGCGACTTGGAAGTCTACCCAGAATACATTAAACATCTGAAGAGGTTTGTGTCAGCTATTGAGAGATCATCACATTTGGAAAATGTATCACCATGCATGGACTCATCTGAAGATAATCAAAGAAACAGCACAGATTGTAGGCCCAGATCTAGCACTGATAAGAAAGAAAAGAAGGAGAAGCCAAGAAGAAGCATCGGCTCAAGAGAAAAACCAAGAAGCAGCATTGACAAGAAAGAAAGAATGCGTAGGAGTTTGGATCAAGCTGAGAAGACAAATTGCAACACAGAACCACAGGAAAAAGCAAGAAAGAGCTTTGACCGGTCGGATTAAACTTATCTGGTTAAGATTATTTTTTATATCTGCCACTAGTGTTTATATGCACTCCATGATGTGTTCTGCTTTTAAAGTAACTAACCATGGAATTTTAATGATGACAGCTTTGGTGAAATGATGAAATCAGCCGTATTATGCAATATCGATTGCTTCAAGCCAACAGGAGCAAATGTCCCTAAATAGAGAAGAGATGGAAAGAAAGGCATGTCTTTTTTAAGGCTTCATCTGCTTACTCTAAAACATCTGTATGCCGATCCATTTCCATTTTGAGAAAAAAGTGTGTGTTTCTGAGTACTCTTTATAATTACTGAATTAATTTATGCGTCTTATTATACCCCCTCTGTCCGATAATCGTGTTTTTGCTTTGACCCACAACATATATATGCAAGACACATTTTGTTTTGGCTTTCCTAGTATACCCTTATGTAAAGGAGAACAAAAAGTAAGCAAAAGTAAGAATAGTAAAGACATTTGCCTATGAACAGTTTTCTTTTTATGGAAGTGAGAAATTCATTTTGGTACATCCTCTTAAGGAATATGGTACGGAGGGAGTATAGTATATATACTAGATAGCAAAGTCATTCTAAGCAACAGTTATGGAAAAACATTAGTGAGATTTCTACTTTGATCTCAGTCTGATTAGTTATTCTCAGATGTCAGCATGGTGGAAAATGTCTTAAGCTAAAAAATGCAGGGGAAAGTTAAAAAATGGCCAACTTATTTTAAGGGTCATAATTTCTTCTAAACTGTGTGCAATTTTAAAACATTCTGAGCAAGGTAGACATGTATCTATGGTGCTTGTAGCATTCATGCTACAGCCCATAATTGATAATAAATGCGTCAACATACCGGGATAGGAAGTGTCTGCTGTGTGCCTGTGCAAGTTCAATGAAAATAAGGAGGGGACTATATGATGATTATCAAATACAAGGGTCTCAGAAAAACAAGTTCAGAATGCTCTATCTTTTTGTACATTTGGGGGGTAAGAAGTGTATGAGTTTTAATGCAGATCCATGAGTTCTTCTTTGGAAATGTGCTCTTCCCTGCCACTGTTCTTATTGTGGTGCTTTAAGTAACCTGACTTGCTATATTCTAGACATCTATTATAAACCTTGGCTTACCCATTATTTTCTGACTGCTCACAGATTGATTATTTCCACCTCAGTCTGGACTGGTAAGGTACCCAGGAGACGAGGGCGTGCGGCGCGGGCCATAATTCTCAAGGTGGAAGCTTGATTGAAGCTGATATATTAATTATTCATTACCTCATTTGTATACTACCTTATACAATACCTGACAGTCTATTGGTCTTCTGCTCATCCTCCGGGTTTGCTACATGGGGAGGAGACTGAACAGTGAGCCTACCAGTTTCTCTTGATTCTCTAGATAGAAGGTTACTCTGTTGTAATGCCCAGAGACATTGACACCATCTGTTCATGTCTCAACAAATTTATTAACCAAAATGTAGGATAATTTTGGAATTCTCCTACAAGCAACCTGCTGCTGATGATGTAACAATTTCTTTAAAAGCTGCAGGCTAAATTTTACTTGACAACATGAATTCTTATCACAATCTCACGGTCTCACCCACTTGAGATTTTCTAGGAATTGCTGAAGATCCAGTTTAACCTGAGATTATAGTGATCTTTTTGTCCTTTTAATACCATTATTTGCCCAAATTATGACTTTATTGGTTAGGGGTTTACAAAACTGGCGTTTTTCTTTTTATGACCGAGTTCTTTAGTAAGATGTACTGAAACTCGACACACCTTACACAGTTACACCTAGCCGATTTGGAAACTCTGTATTGGGTCATAAATTTATAAGTCTCAGATTTCTTATTTGTCCTTTTTTGTCGTTAAAAAAGTTGGGGATTAGCTTCCACTTGTTAAGAGTGTACAGAAAAATTGGACTCCTGAGATGCATCTTTAAAATATAAAAAAGAATGATCAAAATTGTGTATTGTGATATTTAAATACATGGATCCACATTGTCAAATTGTGGATCAAAATTGTGTTTGTATTGTGGCTTGCTGGGCAAAACGTCATTTTTTAACGAAGGTATTGGCCGAAACGCTGGTATTGGCCAAAAGGCCCAAAACGCTGAAAAAAAAAACAATGTATTCCAAGTCATTGGAAAAAGTTATTATGCGACTATAAATTAGACAAAAAAGTTGAGAGATTTCTCCATTTAGGAGCAGAACATATCAAATATGTCAAAATAGGACTCCTATCTCACTTGAAGTTCACCACACGAAAATTAACAGTAAGGGACAAGAATGCCCTTAATGAATACTACATCTATTTAGTAAAAATACAAAATAGAATAATAATAAACTAAATGCATTACACGGTACGTATTTTTCCCTCACGCCCACCCCAGCCTGCAGAAGTTGCCGCCAACACCACACAAGGGGCAGGATCTGCACCAGTTACCACCGCCAATCACCCCTTGTCGCCGCCCAACGCCTGCCTCCCGCCGCCGCCAATTGATGTCGTCGAAATCTTCATCGTTATCATCGCTTATGTCAGCATTACGGTTGTTAGGTGCATCCGCCGCTAGTCGCCGCCTGCCATTGGTCAGCCACACTTCTTGTAGCACCACCACCACGTTTGGCTCCTCCATTACAGATCTCAGATCTGAAAAAAGTTATTTAAAAAATTATCTCATCATTTGAAAATCATTTTTAATAAGATTTTTATAATAAAAAAATGAGGATATGAATTTGAGTGTCATTTTGGCATTTCATTGGCATTATAAATGTTAGATTTGTAGGAGAAATGATACTGTCATTGCTACATAGTTAGTGCCATATATATGGCAATATGGGCAAAATTAACATGTTTATATATATGAAAAAATGTGGCACTTATGGTATTGTTTTTGTCATGTTGAAGGAATTACTGCCATAAAAATGGCACAAAATGTCAACATAACATTTTATACGGAAAACATGACATTATTAGTGTTATATATGAAAGGGGTAGCATTTTCATTTTAATGCATAAATTACTAGTGATTTATGCATATTTAGAATTCAAATCATAAAATTATTTTGAACAACTAAAAAAATTGATTGACATGAATGTAAAATTATTACCTTATTGTAAAAGAGAAAATAAAACAATATAACAATAAAATGTGAAAGAAAAATTGAAAAAGAAAAAGGAGAAGAAATTAAAGCAGGAGAAAAACTTGAAAACTCCATATCTGGATAAGGAAAAGAAAGGGAACAAAAAATCAATTAAAAAACATAGCAGGTTCATGTAAGAAAAAAGAAGCGAAGTTCTTCTGTGGAGCAAAAGAAAATGAGGGAGTAGAAGAGGAAGAAAAAGAGAAGAAGAAATCAAAATTTACCTGCATAATCTTCGTCGTCCACCGGTGGTCAGAATTGATGAGAAAAATCAGTCCAACCTTCAATGTTTATGGTCGCCGCTGGAGATGGTGAATTTGAAGATGAGGTCTTGAGATTGACGAGTGCTAGAACAGGCTAGAAGAAAGAGAGAAGAAGTTGGGAAATGGAAAGAAGAGAAAGGAAAGTGAGTACGGTGCAACCAAAGATGCGTAGGAAGACAAAATTAAAGTCTTACAATATTAAAATTAAAATAATGCATGCTAGCTGTAAAGAGGGTACAATTGGAAATAGGAACGACTCGCTTAATTATTAACTCCTATTCCGAGAATAAATCAACAACCAGTCTTATTTTAGAACTTTCTTTTTGTTTTACTCCCATTTAGGTATATTTCTTAAAAAAGTTCAATGTTTTTAACAATTCTAATTAGAATTGTGTTTTTAACAATTCTAATTACCCCTGTAATTAGAACTTGTGGCGGATCCAGAAACTCGGACCCAGAAAGGGGTCCCTACTCTTTTATATCTCTAATCTCTAATTAATATAAAACTAATAAAAAATATATTAAAGAAGCATAACACTTCAAAGTTAACGCACACCATCAAAACATTAAGATATTATGAAGCAAAAAATTACATATAAAAATCATTCAACAATTCTACAGATATACCCTCCTAATTAGCTTCATTTGTTGGAAATATTCTATAATAGAATCATCACTAGTAGTACCAATAACATAGCAAAAACATCATCACTCATTTGCTTAATAATTTCATGAACAGTTGGAAATGCACAAGCATAACACAAATCCTTTTGAATTTTGGGTGAGTCATCTGATTGTTTTGTGAAGCATTTTTAAGAACTCTATCTATCTCAGAATCATGTTGTCTCAAAAGATCTAAAGTCTCAAGAAAATGGCCTTTATAACTAGACTCTATTGATTCGTCATGATTCCGAAATGGCAAACCCCCACAAAGGAGAAATCCAGTGCACTTAAGTGACGCCTTCTGAGTTTCTTTAAATTTGGGTACAACATCAAAATATCTTTTCATCCAAAATCGTATAAAATTGAAAATAACATTTATAAATACATGAATTTATTAATTTAATCTAACATTAAAAAAAGATATGCAAAGAAAAGCAGCAGAGAAAAAAAAAACCTGGCGACAGAGCGAATTCGCGAGTGGGCGTGCGGCGTGGAGTGGTGGGCGCGACTGGTGGTCGCCTGGTCTTTAACGGCACTCCACGGCGGCGACGCGGCGTGGAGTGGGGACGGGAGGGCTGGAGGCGGAACGTCGAACTCTCGTGCAAAGGCGTAGCCGCGAAGGTCTAAAGTTGGAATCAATTGAGTGCTCTGCCTCTGCGTTTAAGGATTGGCAACAATTAAAAAAAGAGGCCAAAACGGTGTAGTTTTTATCTATTTAATTAAAATAGTTTTGGAAAACAAAAAAGGAACCCAGGGGGGATTCAAATGTGGTACCTCCCGCAACATAGAAACTTTCAATCTCATGCGTGCTCCCATTCCCCTACTTCGTTCTGATGATTCTAAGGTCATTTTTTGTGTAAATAGACATTGAATAATTAATTTTATACTCCCTCCGTCCCCCAATTAAGTTCCCGGTTTGACTTCACACGTATTAAGAAAATAAATTTGACTTTACTGTAGAGTGCACTGTTTTGCATTATTCAAATACTGTTTGACACTGTTTGGACACTGTTTTGCACTGTTTGACACTGTTTTGATATACTTCGTATATAATTTGCCAAATAAGGAAAGTAAGGAAGTGTGAACTTAATTTATGGACTGCCCAAAAAGGAAAGTGGTAACTTAATTGGGGGACGGATGGAGTATAATATACTCTCTCCGTCCCTTAAAACTTTGCCAACTTTCCTTTTTTGGATGTCCCACTAACTTTGACACTTTCTCTTTTAAGTAAAGAATTTGTGGTTCCAGTTAATTCTTCCTCCTCTGCACAAACCTCAACCACACAGTTTTTACTTTATTAATTCCCGTGCCAGTCAAACTTGGCAAAGTTTTAAGGAACAGAGGTAGTATATAATACTACGTATATATCAGTTCGTATACCGTAGGATCATCCCACGGTAAGCATAGTGCTCCCCTTCCAAAACGACGTAGCTTTACTCAATTTTTTTAAAAAAAATTCGCGTGAACAGTACACGCGTGTACAATAACTGTTTTTTTCTTTCTTTTTGTCCCAGTAGCATGAATGGTATAACTCGCGAGTAAAGATATGTAACTTACGTTATTGATTAATGCAACTCAAGTGCATTCGAAATGTAACTTGTCAAATACATAGTATTAGAAATACCATATTGATTTCAATGTAAACAATGAAAAAAGAGTCTAATTTCACAATTGCTTTACGTAAATTGTGAATATGTTTTGTTTTTAATATCATGACCATAAAAAATAAATTTTTTAAAATTTTCTTTTTTGTTTCAATAGCAGGGGTTGATTTTTTTAATGTAACTCATGTTATTACAAATGTAACTCGTGTTGATGGCAAATATAACTTAGATGTATACAGAATGTAACTTGTTGAAAAATTGAACATTTTTTTTGTGTGTTTAAGAATAATATATATGTCATAAACATTGATTTCAATGAAAACAATGAAAAATTGATCCTAATAGCTTAATTACTTTTTTTAAATAGTGAATATGTTTTATGTTTAATATTAGGGCTATAAAAATGATATAGCAGGGGTTTATTCCGTGGTGTAACTCACATACACTAAGATGTAACTCGCGTATATTAACATGTAACTCGCGTACAATAAGATGTAACTTGCGCGGAAGAAGATATAACTTCATGATATAATATCAAATGTAACTTCAAAAATCAAAATAAACAAACTCAATGTCTTAAAAACCTCTAAAAATATATAAAAGTGATAAAAAACTTATATTATAGAAAAAGTTTCTCCATATAAAAAATATAACAAAAAAGTGTATGAATATAAAAAGTATATCACAAAAAAAGTATATGAATATAAAAATTAATACAAAAACAAAAATAGTGTATGAATATTAATTGCAATATACTTATTTTATTTAGATTAATAAACTTTTTGTTATGCATTGTTAAAGAATAAAAAAATAGATTCAATTATAATTTAAGATGAAGATGAAGAAAAGTATGATTGTCATTACATTTTTAGTATTTTAATATGATGGAAAAAGAAAATAATTGATGAACAAAAGAAAAATAAAGAAAGAAAAGCAATGGAAAAGGGATTTACGTTGCTCCAGGAAGAAAGAAAAGAAAAATGAACTTGCCTAAAGTGGGATCGGCACACCATACGGAAGGTGGACCGATCCCACGATATAACTTGCCAATATATATAGGTATTTGTTTCGAGGTGCACGGGTCCCGGGACCCGTGAGACCCGTAGTGGGTCCGCCTCTGTCTGTAACCTAAGTAACAGCACATATAATGATTTCTTAATGGTAGTTAATCGATACTATGAATTAACTCAAATAAAGAAGTGACTTCTAAAATCAAAATAGAAGTTGTTATTTACTTATGTTTTGAAAAAACTTAAACTAAGCCGTTCCTTTAATATTTTTTTGAGCGGTCCTTTAGGATGTCATTAGTTTTTTACTTGTAATTTGCTGGTTTGGTGATCTGTTTAAGTCTGGTTTGGTCTGTTTACGTCTGGTTTGGTCTGCCCTGTTTAAGTGTGGTCTAGTCTAGTTTAGTTTGAATTGGTCTGGTCTGGTCTCATAAACGTTTGGTCTCTTTGTATTTTATAACTACGGAAGTCAAGTCTGGTCTGATATGTTAAAGTATGGTCTGGTCTGACCTGGTCTGGTCTATAACTGAAAACAGTCCAAGTAAAAACATCCTTAATAAGTTATACTCCGTATAAAGTTTAAACTTTTACTACCTCCGTCCCAATTTACTTAGTCATCTTTGACATTTCCAGTCAAAGATAGTAAACTTTGACCAATTATTTTAATCAATATATTTGTGCAAAATTTAATAATGTTATACTTTAATGATAGTATTTTTAACAAAAAACATTTTCATATCATTTTCATATTATCAATACTTTCTATATATAAACATATAATCGGTCAAAATTAGACGTCATTGACTTGAAAATTCAAGTTTGACTAACTAAAATAGGACAAAAGGAGTATAATTTATAGCTAATATGTATTTTTGAATTGAATGCGCTGTTTTCTTTAACCTTCTTCTATTATCTTATTTTATACTTCAGGGTTTTATTTTTATTTTAAACAAGTGGAATTCTATTTATGTAACTATACAAATAAAAAATCACGGTGACAAAAATATTATTACATTTTTTAAGTTTAATGCACGCAAGATGTATCTAAATAGATTATAATTTTCTAGTTTAGTCGGTTAGATGTATGTTTGGATCTGATATAATCTGATCCGATTTGGTCTGGTTATATCTGATCTACTTTGTGACTGAAATCAATCAAGTAAAAACATTTTAAAAATATTGTTTATATGTTATTTTAAACATGAAAATATTTTCTAAATTTGATGGTAATTAATCTTATTTGGGAAAAAATATATGAAACTTTTTTTTTTATATTTTAAATTCTTTTTATTCATATTTTGTGAATTTTCCCAATTTATAATGGGTGAAATTAATTTGACTTTTGGTGCCATGAATTTTATGTCAGTTGCATATTTAGTCCTCGTCTTTTACTTTGTTCAGTACTTTATTATTATTTTTTTATCATTTTCGATGCAACATGATTAAAGTTTGATCAAAGTGTCAAAGGTGGTGATTAAGCTCAAAGAGGTAGAATCATTGTGGAATTGGTGAATTTGGAATTGGATTGGGGATAGAATACGGGTTGGAAGCAAGGTACCAACTTCCAATAGGACTCCTGATCCGAAAAAATAGTCTTCGACTGTATTTATATATCGATCGGCCTCCCCAACGCTTAAATTCAGTATACTTCTTATTATCAGAAGAAGAAACAATATGGAGGGCGAAGATTTCAATAAACCATGGTTTGTAGTCAGGCCACAGCCAGACGGGGGCACCACAAAATGCTTTGTCCCGAGCTCCCATATTCATGCCCGTTTCTCCTGGAAAGATCAGATCTCGACCATCTCTTTGCCGGCCGATTTAATATCGGAGTCTCAAGAGTCCCAGCGTCGATTCGTTCGCAACTCACGGGATTTGCGTAAATGGCAGATTGAAGATGATGTCATGAATGCTGTCGCCGACAAACTGATTGACAAAATGCGTTGTTACGATATGCAATGTAATCTCCTGGTAGACATTATTCCACCGGCGGAGGACGATCCTGAGGCGAGGGCGGCGGCCGCGGCGGCCTCGAAGAAGTTTCGCAGGGCGTTCAGCATATTCATGTTATCATACGTTATTATTGTCGCATTTAGTTGTGTTTTTTTGTTGTTTTGGAAGTGGGAAATTTGAACTTTTAAATTTTGTGAGTTAACTCTTAGCACAACGGATTCTATTAGCAAGTAGAAAATAGCAGATCCAATCAACGGATTTGATCAATAGATTTGTTTGGCGTGTAGTAGAAAAATGTTTGACAAATTAGTTGTTTACATACCGTGGTTAGTAGTATAATAATTTGGCTTGTGTTTTTTTGTTTAATTTAAATTTGGTATTCCATAGTCTGTACTATACTAATTTATACGTACATAATATATGTCAATTTAACTTTAAAATTAAGTAATTAAGAATATAATAAAAATTAATGAATTCATACCTATTAATAAAAATCAAAATAAAAGGATAAATAACTTAAGAAATCTGCACAGTATTATGGAGTATATATATTCCCAAATTTCAATACCCATTGAAATCAAAACAGAGTTTTAATGGATTATTCTAGAGGAGACTAGGAGAGGAGTAATACGTATATGTGCATATATACTTCCTCCGTCCCTTATAACTTTGACAACTTTCCTTTTTTGGTTGTCCTAAAAACTTTGTCATTTTCCCTTTTAATCAATCAATTTGTGGATCCTGTTATTTTTCTCTCCTATACACAAATATCTACCACAAAGTTTTTACTTTTTTATTCTATGTGCCGGTCAAACATGACAAACTTTTAAGCAAAGGAGGGAGTATTATATATAATGCGTATTTGAGAATAATCTACAAGAGTCAATCTAGTGTCCTCTCTTGTGGTGTAAGAGAGAAACTAGAAGGAACAATGAACGATTGAAACGGCTAATAACGCTCCGGTTATTAGCGTCTTCATTTTTGGAGGTTTCCTCCCATATGCTTAGACCAACCTCTATTTGCCAAATAGTGGTTGCAATGGTCCAACAAACTAAAATGGTCAAAGATGTTGATTTATGGCTAAAATGCCATATCCAAACGATGCCTTTATCCTTTTAGTGGAAATCACATGAGGGATGAACAGTAGGATACTTCCTAAAATAAATACAAAATGTAATAGTGTAATAAAATTTAAGTTTATAATGCATCCCTATATATATATATATATATATATATATATATATATATATATATATATATATATATATATATATATATATATATATATATATATATATATATATATATATATCGGTGAGCGTAGATCAACAGGTAGCAAGGGAGTGCCAGAAGGGTTAGCAGGGAGTGAGGAGACCTATTGACTACAATGAGTTTAATTCATGTTGAGTCGTTTAGATGTTTGATTCTATAAATTTAATACGGAGTATAAGCTTTTCCTTTCAAAAAACAACTTTTAAATGTAATATGGAGTATCATATAAGACCATTTGTAGTGGTTTGAGATTATGAGTCAAAAGATTAAAAATGAAGATTTTAGACTCTTATTTATGTGTAGTGGAGGATTAAAAGAGGGAGTAAAAGTGGAAAGGGAAGTGAAGGAGTGTAAAAATAGATGGAGGGGTTGACAGTGAAAAATATATGAAAAAGAAAAGAAAAAGGGGGATGAGATGGATTCGTACGCTGCATGTTGGGCCAAACCATGTGTTCGCTGACATCACGGTGACATCATTATTACCCCAAATTGTTTTAAACTCTTGTAACTTTTTTATTTGTTCTCCAAATTTTTCAAAATATATAACAAAATTAATAAAATTTTATTTTCTTTCATATGACACCAATATGTAATATATAAAATGAAACAAAAATTCTTAAATGTTAACTGTTGAAGTTTTCTTCAGTCTACAAAACGATGAAACACGAATTTTTAATTCATGTAATCTTCACAAATAACTGAATATTTCATAATCGAACTTTACTTGAACTAAGTTCATTTTTGTTAACCGAAAACATTAAAAAAAATTAATGAAATTTATTTATTTTTATATCGAAATGTGTATTTTTTATTTCACAATTATTTAGGGAAAATATTCAACGGAAAACATTACTTATAATAAATTAATTAATGTTTTACTTAATTGATATGTAAAAAAATATGTTGAGTGTATTTTATTGACGGTGCACAGCTGTAGAGAAAAACAGTATTAACGAAGTCGAAACACTGGTTTCATATGGACGGAGTCCAAATTTAACAATTCGGACTCCCAACCACTACAAATGGACTAATGTAGCGTTAGATCGAGATGGCCAAACGTAATAAATTCATTAGAATAAGTATAATACTCAAGTTTTGAAGACTTTACTATACAGGAATAAACATGATAAGTATTTCCTCACACATAGACTTTACTCGTTACATGAAATTAGAATTTCTGAGCAAACTATTTAAAAATCTTAAACATAATAACATAAGTTTATTTTATAATCAAAGAAATAAAATTAAGTAGGAGTTTATTCGTTTAATATTTATCATTTGTAGTACTTGTCAAAGGAGAAATGTGTGAAAAAGGTTTTACACGTGAATACACAAATCCGAAAATTATGTCATTCATCGATTTTATTTATTATGATTTTTATTCTTTCAAAATATAATCAAATGTAATTTAAAATGCTGCTTTTATTTCATATATGTAGTTATTTACGCATTTAGTCTCTCCATATTTTTGTACTTGCTTATATATTCTGGCCTCAAAAATCTATTTGGACTAAAAATTAATCTAATAATTATGTTTGTGACCAATAATTGTTCACATGTAAAGATGCTACCGATTCTCCCCTAGCGGCTTTGCCGTCGCGTAGGGTTTTCCTTCCGCCAATTGTTTATGCGCATCTTCTTCTCTCGGTTTTTAGAGTACTTTTTATGTTTAGCTTGTTGGTTCTTGTTTTGGGATTTAGGCGACTTCCAGATTATCCATTGGATCTCGAAGCTGCGACGAGATTTCATCTTTATTTTATAATCTCTTTTCTCGGCTTATGCAAGTCAATCTTAAAGGAGGCATGTGTGCGCCTGCAACTTTTGGAGACAAATCCAAGGTTCAAGAAACGATAATCATGGCTTCTCACTTCTGTGGATGGTCTAGAGCAGCGTTGTCTCATTCTTAAAATTGAGGAGGAGGGCGAAGAGTTAGTTTTTGGCGAATCAACATGGGTAAAGGGCGGTGGTGGAGGATGAGGCTGCTTGGGCAGCGAGAAGACAGGGAGAGGTGAAGGACTGAGCAAGGGAGAAGACAAATCGGCGGTCCACGCCCTCCTGAACTGCCGCCTTGGAGCGATCAATGTGCTAGGGTTTGGAAAATTTATCAGTTATTTAATTTTTTATGGTTTTATTTTGGCTTTATGTTTAACGTTGCTCTGTTTTTTGTTGATGTCTTTAGTTTTAGGTCTACAATAATGATTGACAATTCTGCTAGATATTATGTCTTTAAAAGAATCTATATGGTCAGTGATTGTTGTGTCACACTCGTTTGGTGGTTAGTGATTTATATTGCTCTTACACGGGTGATCGTCTGTGAGTCTAGCCGTAGGGTTGATAGTGCTAATTGGTTAGGGATAGTTGTTGGCAGTGTTGGTAGGGATGGACCCGGGCCGGTCCAGTTCCGGTTCCAGGCCGGGTCCGGGCGGGCTTTTTTTGTAGAATCATGGGCCCGGAACCGGCCCGGGGTGATACCGGGTCCGGTCCGGGTCGGGCCTACCCGGCCGGGTTGTGGGCCGGTTCGGGACGGGCCCATGCTATTTATTTTTTTTTAATTCAGATTAGTTGGACATAAAAAATTTAAACCGTATTAATTTGAAATATGTAGTACAATTGGAAATTGAGCAAAAATTACAACATGAAATACACTTTTTAATAAATAAGAATCAATCAAAATTTCCGCCATCTTCAGTTGTTTCTTCCATAAAGTGGCGGGTGGGTTCAATGCTAATTTATTGAGTTCTACGTTTGGTCTTCAACCAATCGTGGAAGCAAACAAGCGTCTCAAGAGAGTTTGCGCTCAATCTCATTCTATAATCCCTTAGGACGTTGCCGGCCGCACTAAACTCTTGTTCCACAGCAACTATTGATACAAGCATTGCTAGCACTTGCTTAGCCATCTTTGATAAGATCGGGAACGTTCTCTCTTTTTCCTTCCACCACTGAAGAACATCAAAGTCATCACCTTCTTCATACTCAACAGGAAATGTTAGATACAAAGAAATAACACATTTATGCATACACCAATCATCATCAATATAATGTGCAGTCAAACCCAAATAATATAAATGATGATGAGTATCCTCCCATATATCACTACATATACTAACACGTCCATCAAAGTTTGCAAAAAACGTTTGTAATTTTTGCTTTTCCAAAACATATTGCCTTATAACTTCTTTTTTAATTGTTTTGCGACTATAGTTTCGAAATTGGGGATTTAAAGAACCTTGAGCATATTCTTTTAAAGCAAGACTTTCAGAAAAAATAAAAGGCAAATTTTCTTCAACAATTAAATGAGACATACCAGTCAAATGTCTTTGATCATCATAGGAGAAATTTTCAGACAATTAAATGACTTTCAGAAATTTCCAAGTTATACTTTTTGTTGCAATGCTTACAAATGGCGTACCATATCTCGGTTTCGAGGTCTTTAACTTTTGTAAAATTTGCCTTAAAGACAGATTCAGATTTCCCACCGGCTTGGGAAGAAGTAGCCACTTCCGCTTCCTCTTCCTCATCATCCGGTGTGCCATGAACCTCGTCCTCGACCGTTCGCGGATCCCTCTCCTCCGCATCATCATCCTCAAGCTCTTCTTCGTCAATGGTTTGCGGGATGTCTTGTTGATGAAAAAAAAACCTCCTTGATTTTGTTGCAATAGTTGTTCTAGTTGCTCATCGGACATCGCATCCCCATATCTTTGGTTGTAATCCGCATCAAAATCATCTCGGGTTTGAGATGAAGACCCCGGCCCTCCCTTACCTTTGCGTGACCTTGGATGATTCCTCGCAATCTCCTTTGTTCGGTTGCGGCGGAGGTTACCCATATCTAAAGAAGCTCTACCACGCTCCATATTAAAAATATAACAAATATTAAATTCGAATAACAATTAAGCAATTAATTTTGAATTAACTAGTTTACCAATTACCTAAAATTCGAACTATTTGTTTTACAATCTAACAACTTTATTTAACAAGTTTAACAATTAACTACTTTTTATAGAGATTAATAAATGTAACAATTAACTACTACGAGTCTACGATAAGAGATTAATAAATGAACCA